CTCTTTCTCTGATACTAGGATATTTAAATTGTAGTATTATACTTCTCTTATGCTTATTTCTTTGATATTCAAGATATATAATTAGCTTAAGCCAAATATTCTGCCAAAGGACTTTTCTTTCAGTTTGTAGGTGCTATCTAAAAAGTTACAATCCCTAAGGATATAAAGAAATGCAAAATTTACTTCAAAACTGATTTTATAATAGTGGTGCTTCAGATAGGGAATCAGCCATTAGGCTGTAAGTAAATGCTCTGAACAGAAAAGGAAACTAAGTCCAGTGAAGAGGAACCCACACAATGGGGGAAAATCTTTGCCAGCTATATATCTGATAGAGGATTAATATCCAAAATATGAAAAGAACTCACAAAATAAACAGCCAAGAATGATCCAATTAAAAATAGACTGTAGATGTGAACAGAATTCAAAAGAAGAAATAAAAGTGGATAAGAAATATCTCAAAAGGTACTTAATGTCCTTAGCAATTAGAGAAACACAAATTAAAACTCCTTTGAGATTTCATCATACAGCAACTGCTAGCAGGAATCTGGGTAAAGGAGAACCCACATTTACCGTTGATGGTATTACGGGAGAAAGCAGATACTCTGGAAGTCAGTGTTCAGAATTCTTTTTTTTTTTTCCAATTTTTAACTTGAAATTTTTTTTATTGGATATTTTATTTACATTTCAGATGTGATCCCCTTTCCCCATCTCCCCCGGCCCTAGGAACCTCCTATCCCATCCCCCCTACTCCTGCTTCTATGAGGATGTGCCATCATCCACCTGCCCACTCCCACCTCCCCACACACGAAATCCCTCAAACTGGGGCATCCAGCCTTCACTGGACCAAGGACTTCCTCTCCCACCTATGCCCGACAAGGCCATCCTCTCCTACATATATAGCTGGAGCCATGAGTCCCTCCCTAAGCGCTCCCAGACTGGTGGTTTAGACCCTGGGAGCGCTGGTTGGTTGGTATTGTTGCTGTCTCCATGGGGCCACAAACCCCTTCAGCTCCTTCAGTCTTCTCTTTCACTCCTCTATTGGGAACCCCATGATCAGTTGAATGGCTAGCTGTTTCAGGCTCTGGCAGACCTCTAAGGAGACAGCTATATCAAGGTCCTCTCAGCATGCACTTCCTGGCATCCACATCAGTGTCTACCTTTGGTGACTGCACATGGGATGGATACCCAGTTGGAATGGTCTCCAGACAGCCCCTCCTTCTGTTTCTGTCCCACACTTTGTCTCCATGTTTGCTCCCAGGAGTATCTTGTTACTCCTTCTAAGAAGGACCAAAGCACTCACACTTTGGTCTTTCTTCTTCATGAGCTTCATATAGTCTGTGAGTTACATCTTGGGTATTACAAGCTTTTGGGCTAATATCCAATTATCAGTGAGTGAATACCATGTGTGTTCTTTTGTGATTGGGTTACTTCACTCAGGATGATATTTTCTAGTTCCATCCATTTACCTAAGAATTTCTCAAATTCATTGTTTTTAATAGCTGATTAATACTCCATTGTGTAAATGTACCACATTTTCTGTATCCATTCCTCTGTTGAAGGACATCTGGTTCTTTCTAGCTTCTGGCTATTATAAATAAGGCTGCTATGAACATAGTGGAGCATATGTCCTTCTTATATGTTGGAGCATCTTCTGGGTATATGCCCAGGAGTGGTATAGCAGGGTCCAGTTTTCTGAGGAACTGCCAAACTGATTTCCAGAGTAGTTGTACCAGCTTGCAATCTCACCAACAATGGAGGAGTGTTCTTTTTTCTCCACATCCTCGCCAGCATCTGCTATCACTTGAATTTCTTACAAAGCTAAAATACTTCTATATGACCCAGCTATACCATTCCATGAACTATTTCCCACCCAGGAACTCGACATCCTCTACCATATACATTTGCTCAACCATATTCACTGATTGGACTATTCACAGTAACTAGGAAATTGAACCAACATAATCTCCTTCAATTGAGGAATGAATAACAAAATAATAATATAAACACACTACAGAATATTGTTAAGCTGTAGTAAGATTATAAAATGTTCAGGTAAATGGAGCGATCTGGAAAAGGTTATATTGAGTTTGGTAACCCAGACCCCTAAAAAAATGCCCCTTTGCCGTCTGTACCTCCAAACACTAAGGATGTTTGAAAAAACATATGGAATTATACTATTTCATGTTTACCTGAACTTACATATAATATATGCAACTGTATGTATATACCAGTATGTAGTTTAAATGAAAATTTGACACTTGGGGTGTTAGAATTTTTCCTGCAGCAGCCATAGAAAAACTAGCAAAAGCCCAAGTACTAGGCACGAGAAACTTCTTTTGTCTTGTTGGTCAGTGGAGTCCGACCAACTCTGCAAAGAGTGTAAACTATTGCTGTTGCTCTTGTTTGCCTCACAGAGTTTGAAGGTAAGTCCCAATTGCTGAAGACACAAGCACTTTAGGGACAGGACTCAGGGATTCAAGCTGAGTCTGACTTTTGAAACTTCCCTGGGGACTAGCTTTCATAATATTAGAATGTGCTTTGCAGCTGCTCAAAAGAAGGACAATCAATAGTCGTACCCAGTTCTGATGCCTACAAACTACAACAGTGAACTACAAGGCAAAGACATCTCCAAAGATGCAATAGTGACCCATATAGCCAAGCAGTAAACAACAGTTGTATATTCTGTAATGCTTTACTTCAAGACTAACACTTCATCTTTTTAGTCTTTGTAGTAGGTAGTTTGTGGAAAAGGAAAGGCAGTATAATGCTCAGTGGATGTCTCCACTATTCTATGCATTACCTCACATTTTATTTCACCCTCATATTGATTCAGCAAAGCTGGAAACAAATGAATAGTTCCAATTAGCAAATAAAAAATAATTTAAGGAGATTAAGAACATGTATCTAAATATAGTTTTTAAATGATTTTGTTTTCTATATGGATCTGTGTAGTAGACCATAGTGCCCTGGAGGATAGGAATGTAAACAGACCCATTGCATCTCAGTGTGATAATTGTTTTGAGAACCCTGGACAGAGTTTTGTCAGTCACTGTCTACTAGAGGAATGATCCAAGATTAAAATAAGAGGGCATTCAAAATGAGTCCTAAATGTAACTTCCATGAATGCGAGAATTCTTTCAGATTTGTTTTCCTTTCTACTCCTGTTTAAGAAATATGGTGATTTTAATGACATGGGTCTACAGGGAGTGGCACTATTAGGAGATGTGGTCTTGCAGGCGTGGATTTGGCCTTGTTGAAGGAAGTGTGTCATCGGAGGGCAGGGAGGAGTAGGTTTTGAGGTTTCAGAAGCTCAAGGCAGGCCCAGTGTTACTCTGTTGCCTGCTGATCCAGACATAGAACTCTCAGTCCCTTCTCCAGCATCACCTCTGCCTAAACACCTCCATACTTCTCGCCATGGTGATGATAGACTAAACCTTTGACCCTATAAACAAGCTCCAAATAAATGTTTTCTTTTGTAAGAGTTGCCATGGTCATATTGTCTCTTCACAACAATAGAAACTCTAACTAAAACAGAAGTTGGTACCAGGATCTAGGGTATTGTTGTGATAGGCTGGATCATGCTTTTGTTTGGAGGAATATGGAATACTTTGGGACTTTGGACTAGAAAAGCAGTTGAGCCCTGTAAGCAGGGCTTAATGGGCCATAATAGGGGCATGAAAGACAGTAGTTCTGAGGCTCTGGCTCAGTAGTGTTCAGAGGTAAACAATAGTAACATGTGACCTACAGATTGTTCTTCTGATATTTTGGGAAGAATGTAGCTGCTTGCTGCCCTTGTCCAAAAAAATCAGCTTGCGGCCAAACTGAAGACTTATGGATTAATAGCTTTGGCAGATGAGGTTTTCAGACAGCCTAATATGTTGCTGGCTGTGTGGCTTGGTAATTAGTGGCTACATATAGTGTAGATCTATAATGAAGCAACCTCAGCAAGGAAAAATGCAAACTGTACAATTTGAGGAGAAAAAGAGTAAGGAGAGTGTAAAGGAATTAAGTCCTTCATTCAGGGATATAAACAAATTAAAGAAAAGCCTGAGGCCAAATGTAATAAAGGGAGTGGGAACTTTTTGATAAGATCCCACCCAGATAAATGTCCAGTTTTGGAAAGGAATTAAAGAAAAGTTTAAGGCAGAATGTAGTGATGTATACCTTTGATCTCAGCTCTCAGAGAGCAGAGGCTGGCAGATCTCTGAGTTTGAAGTCAACCTGATCTACAGAGGGACTTCCAGGACAGCTTAGGCAGTGCAGGAAACCATCAAAATCAGGAAGCTGGTGAAAATATTTTTGAAAAAGTGGAACAATATATCAGCCCCAGAAAGCAGCAGAATTGGGCAGCTTTGGCCACATGGTTCAAGCTTTAGAATCAAGGATACAAGAAAGGAGCTATGGAATCTTTCTCCGTGCTTAAGGAAAGCCACTGAGGCCAGTTATATGCCACCGCTGTCCCTGCATGGAGGCCCAGTGGCCATTGTGTGAAACTATGAAGGTGAAGATTGGATTGCCTTGGAGACCCCAAGGTGTTGGAGATGCCAGAGCTGCTAACAGGGAGTGAAACAGAAAGAACTGTTGCAGTCAACAAAGCTGAAAGGAGTGGGAGATCTGAAGAGAGCTGTGAAAGGGCCAAGGCTGCTTGTAGAATAGTCTAGTGAAGTGGATACACTTACACTTTTATGGACTTAATTTTGGGTAAATGCACAACATACTGTTAACATATCAAGGATAATCTGTTTTAAGTTGGTTTTTGTTGATTTCTGCTATGTGGAAATGAAAAGATCTGATAGTCAATAAAGAGATAGCTAAATATTTATATTCTCAAATTATGTTCTCTCTCTTTCCGTGCATACACACACACACACACACACACACACACACACACACACATTGTTCAGGGGCTTTTAAAGGATAAAGGGTCTTAAAATAGTTCCTGTTATGGTGGGTATCTAGTGTAAGAATCATGCCCTACATACTTTCTCTTTGTCTTTCAGTGATACCGGGACAATACCTCCTGAAAGATGCCTCTTTGGAGTAATGCTAAATATTGCTGCAGTTTTAGGTAAGTAATGGAAGTAGGAGCAGTTTTAGCATACAAAATGAAGAGTCAGAATACTTATTTGTTCTTTAAATATTGTATCACTACTTATTTTCTAGTTGTACTTGAGAATATGTTGTTACTAAATTATAGGTTATAATTATGTTCGTAAAAGAAGAAAAGGAAAAAGAAAGAAAGAAAACTCTTGATTATATTGCTGCCTTCCAGAGGGGTAGGGTGGGAGAAGCTCCAGTAGAAATGCCAGTTTATAGAAATACACTTTGAAGAGATATATATATATATATATATATATATATATATATATATATATGTATATGTGTATGTATATGGCTATAATAGACTTCTTAGCTAAACATAAGTTGCAAAGACAACCAAACATCCCTTGGAGCCTTAGGTAAATTTCTTAAACAACTAGTGTGATATCAAGAATTGAAGGTAAAACTGGCCACAACTAAATTCTTTCATGATAAACAGTTTAAAAATTTAAGAGTAGAAGTGGAATTGTGCTTTCATTTTTGAAATAATCTCATGCTACAAAACTTACCATACTGTGTTATGTTCAAGCTCCTTTTTGTGTGTGAGCCTGACTTTTGTTAGTTTAATAAAATATTTACTAAAATGTTAAATATGATCCCTTAAAATAATTTCATCCATCAATTCAATACATACTATTTGCTTGCATGAAAAAAGAGAAACTAGGGCTAGCAAGTTGGCCTCGGAAGTAATGATACTTGCTTACTGAGCCAGAAGACCTGAGTTTAATCCCCAGAACCCATATTGGGGAAGAGAACCAGCTCCCAAAGGCTGGTTAATGTCTTACACACACTCATCACACACACACACACACACACACACACACACACACACACACAAATAATTCATAAATAAATGAATGTAAAGGAACTTTGAAAAACTAGAAATTAGAAAAAATAATTTATAATCATGTTTTCTATTTACACTCTTCAAAACATGTCTACAAAACACGTATCTGTCATGTTTATCATACTTATAAGTTGTCTGGCAATAACTCTGCAGTAGAAAGTTTGATTTAGAACATGAGTATGTAAAGCAGGATCTGGTTTCTTTTGTAATTAACTGCTATGTGTGCTTGAGCCTAACTGTGGTAACATGAAATAAAACAATACAAGATGAGGGGAGATTTTGTTGGTCTTTCCTCTGCGTGGCCCATCCAGATTCTACTGTTGACTTTGATGCTGATCCTAAAACTATTGTGGGTTTATTGTAGTAAGAGTATCATGAGAGCTTTCTTCAGGAGATATCAAAATTATTTTCTAAATTTTATACTATGTACTATGTAGTTGTAAACATGAAGATTGTGGCTAGTAAATGGCTTACTCTGGCAAACAGGGATTCAAGCAGTTCTATGATGTGACTATAAGAAAATTCGTTAAAATCTATAGGTTCCTTTCTTTTCTTTTTGCATTCCAGTTAATGTTAAAAGACAGTTTGTGGTTCTGGGTAACGACTGACCTTTGTGAACATTTCATGGACACGTTATTCCCCTGGTTACTCATTACTTGGTTGTTTTTCAAATTCTCTCTTTTCAGGCATTGCTAACATCTATGTTCGTTACAAGCAAGTTCATGCATTGAACCCTGAAGAGAACCGTATCATCATCAAATTAAACAAGGCTGGCCTTGTACTTGGGATACTGAGTTGTTTAGGACTTTCTCTCGTGGCAAATTTCCAGGTTTGTTTTTTTAACCCAGTCAGGGTATCTGTGTGAAATGTTTTGAGTATCTATAGTAAATTGGAAAGCTGAGGTCCTCAGTCACGTGCTGTTTCTGTCTCTGCAGCCTACAGAACTCTGCTGTATCATTTGAGCCTTGTAGAAACAACTGCTTTCACTATTAGAAAAATTCATATTTGGTGATCTAAATAAGCATAAATCATAAGAACTGTTTCTTGGGTACTCAGAACAGTTACTTATAGACTTCATTATATACATACTTGGAAATTACTTCAAGATCAGACAGAACTGATATAAAGAATAAGTAATAGACTTTAGATCTAAACTTCATTTTGTGCCTGATGAATCTTAATCATTTACCTTATGTTCTTGTTTGTAATCAAGAATTTCTGTACCTGTGATAGGGTGGGAGAATCTGTTCCCTTTTCAGCTTTTTCTTTAAAAACCATAAAGGCTGGCCAACATCCATCTCTGTCATAACTGTCTTCCTGATCCTGCTGACTAACACAGCAAAAAATAATAATAAAATCACACCTCTTAAAATTTTTAACCTACTTGACAAGTATTGTTAAGTAGAATTTATTCAATAATGGCTTAGAAAGACTTTCTTTAAGACCATCTTTATATCTAGAAGGATGCTTGCTACAGGATTATTTTAGTAGGGAAGAGAAATTGTACTCCACTTTGAAAAAGTAGGGGAAAAAAGATTATGTATAGCCAAAAACCAGAGTGAGGCTCAGTGGATGGAAAACTCCTAATAGAAAACGTGAGCAGTAAGAAGGTATGTTGGCTGTTACTTAGACACTTAGGATAATTTATGCAGGAGTTTTCTGAAGTTAGACAATGTGAAGATGAACCTTGAACCCCAGAAATCAGGCCCAGTTGGCAAGAGCTCAGAGGAACCGAAGTAGAGTTTGATCAAGGAGAAAGCTTTGCTCACTCAGCAGTGAATCATCATTTTAACTAATTCTCATTTGCTAGAAGTGTGCAATGGGAGTTGTCAGGATGACTTCTAAGGAAAAAAAAAAGGTAGTTCTTCTGGGCACTAGTGTCAAGAAGCACAATGTCCTTGTGCCATGGAGAAAGACCTAAAATTGTATAGGACAGCTACTTAGCTGTGAACTCTTGCTTTCCCTAGTCAATTTCTATAGTTCAGTATTAAAAATGTCACAGATAATTTTTAGGGGATCGATATATTGCTATATGGCATACTACTTAGTACATGTCAGCTGTCACTTATTTAGAAACTTTTTGAAAGACGTTGAAGGTGCTAAAAAGGTTAGGGAAAAGATCTCTTATATGGTCCTTGATTTCCAGGGAAAAGACCAATAATTATAATCATATGATATTTGAAACTTTAATGTACACTAAATACCTTTGTACTGTACAGTGTATATGTAATAGTCAACAAAATAAATAACAGGAAGTAAGGGTCCTCAGTGCCACTTAGAAAAGGGTTTCCCTCATGGGAGAGTTATCCTTTGGGATCTTTGGAAGGGATTAGTAAGTAGGGAGATATGAGTTGCCTTTCTAGGGTTGTCATTTGACGATATCATGAACTGGATAGCTTTAAGAAGAAACAATCTGTCAAAGGCAAAAGTATCAGTAGGGCTGGTTTTCTTCCATGCTCTCCTATAGTGTAAATCATCCTAAAGATCTTCAGTAACCTTAAGCTCTTTTCCTAGTATCTAAAACTATGAAACTAGATATAATAATAAACTGCAGGCTTGTTTTTTAATATCTGGTTTATTTATAAAAATTAAAACTGATAACTACACATTTATATTTCTAATTGAAAATAATTTTCTGATCACATTTCCCCTTCCTCATCTCTTCCTAGTTTCTTCCCACTCCTCCACCCATTCAACTGTTTAACTCTACACCTTCTTTCTCTCTTTAGAAAACAAACAGGTCAATCATAATTAAAAAAAAAAAAAAAGAACAAAGGAACCAGAATAAAACAAAACCACCAACAAACAGAACAAACAAAAAGTAGGAAAAACAAAACATATGCATAGACACACACCCAGGCATACATAAATTAAACACAAAAAAAATTTAAACACAAAATTGGGACCAATATGGTTTAGAATGCCCAAACAAAGCATTATGGGACCCAAAAAAGTGCCAAAAATACCATTGAGTTTGTTTTGTTTTGCTCATCTATTGCTGAATATGAGGTCTATCCTTAAATGTACTTTTTATACCCAGCAGAGAATCCATTGGAGACTCCATTGGAGAAATTTTTTTCCTTTGTAAGAAGTTGTTAATTTCAGATAGATTTTTGGTTAGGGATGGGACTCATGACCACTTCAACTCCCAGTGCTAGAACCTCATCTGGCTTGGACATGGGCAGGCCCTGTACATCCTGCCAGTTTCTGTGAGTTTATCTGTGTGTCAGTTCTGTTGTGTCTAGAAGGCACTGTTTCCTTGATGTCTTCATGTCCTCGGGTCTTAGACTCTTTCTGCCTCTTCTTTCACATATCTCTCTGAACTCTGAGGAAAGGAGTCTGATGAAGGCATCCCATTTAGGACTTAGTGTTCCAAGATCTCTTACTCTCTGCATAATAGTTCCCAACTTCTGCAGGAGGAAGCTTCTCTGATTATAGCTGAGTGAGACCCTGGCCTATGAATATAGCAGAATGTCATTAAAAGTCATTTTATTGCTATGTACCTTTAGTAGAACAATAGTGTTTGGTTTTCCCCTAGGTCTGTGACCTATCTAATCTCAGTTTCTTGACCACTCCAGCAAAGTCAGCATGGGTTCCATCTCATAATCAGCTAGTGGTTGGTAACTCCTACAACTTCTGTACTTCTATTGAACCAGCATCACTATTGTAGAATGAAGACTTTACAACTGTTTGTTCCTGTTCCATGAACACTAGTCAGTGAGGGGGAAAGGCTCTAGTTAGGCAACAACATGGCTTTCTTCATGTTCGGTGAGATTTGTGGATGTCATCTTCAGCAATAGGGCCTTACTATGAGTTTGTAGAGAGCAAGCAATAGCTTTGGCAAGATCCTGAGTTGCTTAGAGGTTCTTGTGGGGCCCTTTTGGCCTACAGCTCAATTAGATGTAACCCATTCCTGGCACTTGAAGTTTTGTTTGATGATAAGAGATGTCTTCTTGTGGCTTTGTATCCCCCCAACCCCCATCACTTGATTCCATTTAATTTATTTAATAAACATATATAGTTTAACAAGCTTCTACTGAAGTAGGTTTCCATAAGACTCCTCAAATAACTGTGAGTGTCATTTGTCTGTCCTTACCCTCCTCTTTTCCGCCTCCATTTCAAGTTTTAATATTTTCTCTCCATTTTTTATTTTTTATGTTTACCATGAGAGTTTTGCTAAGGAACTCTATGCTGACATTGATTGGGCTATGTCTATGCTTAGTTTTATCAGATTCAAGCAATGATTCATTCTCATTCTCTCTCTCTCTCTCTCTCTCTTTCTCTCTCTCTCTGAAAAGGAAAACTTGTGCCTTTGAAAAATCAAAATCTCTGAGTTCTGTACATTGAGAATCAACTGTAGCAGTTAACTGAGAAATAGCACATCAGCTGTGTTTATAGATTGTTCAGCTGATACAAAATAAGAAAACTGAACCCTGCCTTTCCTTTGTTCTCTTAGTCCTTATGTTCCTCCTGTGCCAAGTATTGGCTATGCCTTTTCTACCAAAGGAAATACACCACCAACTAAACAAACAACAAACAAACAAACAAAAAAAACAGTGATTCAACCAAAATTTAGTTTTAAACATTGATTGTAGAAATTTGATATTGATGGTTGTCTCTTTTAATCAGATGTAACATATAATGTTAGAAATTAAATGTAAGTAAATAAGGGCAGCATCATAACTTATAATAATCTCTTCAGAATGATCAATACAAACTATTAATGATTCCTGTGGCATAATCAATGCCTAAATAGGACCATGAAGATCTTAAATTACATGTAAACTGTCCCCTCTGATATCCCAGATCTCTATCGTTAACCTTCTTGCTCTTATCTGTTGTTGCCACTGTCTACTTTACTGTGGAATGTCCATATTTCTGTGGTTTATTATTTAATTTTGTGTACCTTCACTAGGATATAAACTGTAAGAACTGAGTGTCTACTTTATTCATTTACATATTAATGACTTTAAAAACTGCCTGACACCTAATAGAACCCAATAAAAATGTTAAGTAAGTGAAACAAAATACATCGACATTTGTTATCATTTTTATTGTTGGCAAATGAAGTCATCTGGTCTCACTTTGATCTTCCTGTGCTTTGGGGAAGTAATTTGTGCAATCACCACTTAGTGAATTATCTGGCTTGCACTTTTAAGTAATATATTGTCAATGTGTTCTTTATTTTTCTCATTGACTAACTTTTTTCTGCTTCTCAGAAATCAACACTGTTTATTGTACATGTATGTGGAGCTGTCCTTGCCTTTAGTATGGGCTCATTTTACATGTTTGTTCAGACCATCCTTTCCTACCAAATGCAGCCCAAAATTCACAGCAAACAAGTCTTCTGGGTTCGACTACTATTGGTTATCTGGTGTGGAGTAAGTGCACTTAGCAGTATCCTTTGTTGTAATATATGGTTTACTATTGAAAGAGAATAGAATAAAAAAACAAGTGAGTGCAGTTTGGTACAATGTAAGAACCATTTTTTATTTTAATTTTTATGTTGTTATACACACAGACACACACACACACGTATTTTATCTATACTTATATAAATGCACCATGTGCATTCCTGGTGGCCACTGCTATCAGAAGAGACTATCAGATGCCGTGGAATTGAACGTGGGTGCTGGGAACCAAATCTAGATCATCTGCAAGAGCAACATGTGCTCTTAACTGTTGAGACATTGTTCTAGCTCCCCCAGTCTCTTTAAAGTCACCCTCAATTAAAGGACATTGTTTGTTGGTACATGAAATTCAGACTGAAATTAAGTAACTGAGCTAGGAAAAAAACATAATGTTTGGCATAGTCATACTTCAAAGAAAGCAAGGAAGAATTATTATGCTCACTACAGAAAATTACTCAGTGGAAATTTATGGTAGAGCTGCTAATTTTTTAGTAAAGAGGAAAGGACATGATATAAACCATTTCCTGGTTACTCTGGATAGATCTTTAGTTTTAGGGCTGCCCATGACATTAATTCTTTAAAAAAAAATAAGATTGGACCATAGTAATAAAAGCTTGCCTTTAAAGTTAGCCTTTAAAATGATTTGTTGTTATTATTATAATATACAAGTTTAAACCTTCAGATCTCTAAGAGTCTTCCTTGACTTACTTTTTTTATAGTGATGACTTGCTCATCAATTTTGTACAGTAGTGGTTTGGGTCCTGATATAGTACAGAAACTACACTGGAACCCAGAGGATAAAGTAAGAGCTTGAGGTCTATAAAATATATAAGAGTGTGTGTGTGTGTGTGTGTGTGTGTGTGTGTGTGTGTGTGTGTGTGATTATTTTAAAGATTTATTTTCATTTTAAACTTATTATCACTGCATGTGTCTATGTTGTGTATACATGGATGCCTGCAAAGGCCAGAATAGTGCATTGAATCCCTTGGAGCTATATTAATAGGTGGAAACAAACTGCTCAACATGGAAACTGGGAACTAAACCTGATTCCTCTGGCAGCAAACGCTCTTAACTGTTGAAACATCTCTCTTTACCCTACATAGTTAATGTTGTAAATTAGTACACAAACTCTAAAAATAGCCATAGGGAGAATATCTTGTGTACTGTATGTATGTGTTGTCTATCAATTAAAAAGCCTATGGCCTGTGGCTTAGATAGGAAATAGAGGTGGGGCATCAGGGAAGAGAAAGGATTGTGGGGTAGAGTCAGGCACAGGAAATAGGCCAGGGATGAGATGAGGAGACACAAATGGAACATAAGCACAGGTAACCAGCCACGTGGCAGAATGTAGGTTAAAATAAACAGCTTATCTTTAGTTATGATCAAGTCAGAGTAGACCCTAGCTATATGGCCAGGGCGTTTGTAAATATATTTTGAGTCCGAGTCTTATTCCTGAGCATGGGGCTAGGAGAAAGAACCAGGGTCCAACTTCAACAAATACCCTTTGTGAAAGTTTATTAAGAGTATTCTTGAGCTTCCTAGTGTCATTTTATGAATTTTATTCAGATGCATGGTGTGTGTGTGTGTGTGTGTGTGTGTGTGTGTGTGTGTTAGTGGGTGGGAATATTTTTTTCATTTCACTCAGTGATCCAACTGACCTTAAATTTGTGATCTTCCTTCAGCCTCTTAAGGATGACAGATGTTGATTTATGAATCTTGTGGCTGGAGGGGGATGGGTTGTAACTCCTTGGTTGTAAATGTAGGTTCTATTTTGTCTTGATTATTTAGTGGAAATTATATTTGTTGTAAGTGAAATAAAGACATCTACTATGGGTCAGGAGGGACTCCTAGTAGCTACTGCAATTCTCAAGACACATTCAAAAATCAAGGAATGATCTTCAGAAGGAAGATTGGTCTATAAGAATTTGATGTTGCTTAGTTTAAGTACTAACATAGATTATTTGAATAGGGTGTAACAAAGTGGCCTTTGTTTTTTCTCTTTAACTCCAGGGTTATGTGCTTCACATGATTACTACTGCAGCAGAATGGTCTATGTCATTTTCCTTCTTTGGATTTTTCCTGACTTATATTCGTGATTTTCAGGTAATAAAATAGTTTCAATTCTGTTTAGTAGAACTTCATTCATGTAGAATAACAGAATATTTTATTGACAGATTTTCTGTCTGTTTTGAAAATTAGAATTTTAAGATCTGGCACCAAAGAAAGTGATATAAGAAGAGTAACTTCTGGTGAAATTGTTCCTGGATTTGAGGGAGTTGTGTGTTGCAAGTAAGCTTCAGCCTTAATAATGGAGTTGCAAAGCACATCTGAAGAAATTCTGTAATCTGTGTTTATTCAACTAGACCCAGCCCTAACACATGGCTTTACTTGGGGGGAAAAAAAGAACTACAAAAGAAAAATAAGAAACTTAGTGAGGCATGGTTTTTTTTCATTTCACTGGTGCTCAGGATGTCACTGTGGCAGTGACTTCCTGTTCCTCATTAGATCAGTTTGTTTCTCTGACTACATAAGGGATGTTGTGCAGCATAATGAAGAGATAGTCTCTCATAAGGACAAAACTTCTCTATATAATTTTCTTTTCTGTTCCAGAAAATTACTTTACGGGTGGAAGCCAATTTACATGGATTAACCCTCTATGACACTGTTCCTTGTCCTGTTACCAATGAAAGAACACCACTGCTTTCCAGAGATTTTCAATGAATGGATAAAAATCTTCTGTGATGATTATGATTCTCAGGGACTGAGAAAAGATGCACAAAAGTTGCATATTATACTGTGAAAATTTGAATCAAGGCTGACAGTGACATTAATGAAAGATGTTATCAGGAGAAATGTAATAAGCCATCTGATAAGTTTTCTTAAAGGATGTTGTTAAGACTATCTAAAAACATTATGTCTAGACTTTTTTATAATCCAGAAAATAAAACCAAAGGATAATACCATTTTAGTGTTTGCTGCTTTATCAAAGAAAGCCTGAAGTACACTGAGTAGTCTCTATACTTGGCCTGAAACATGTTATGTTATTTTAAAAACATCTTTTGTTATGAGTACTTTTATGAGAGAAATTTTCTATGGCCCAACATGTAATCAACATTGATCAGCAAATCATTTAGAATCAGGGCTTAAAACTGAAGTTTTACTATATTAATACATTTCTTATAATACTTAAAAATGTGGTGTTGTTGCTGTTATTGTTATTGTTCTGGAACCTCCTCTGTAAATAGGAGCGTGTCTGAACTTGTGTGAGTTCTTTCAGGGCTTAAATTTTGCCTCACTGGACCCCCACAAACAAACACAAAATCAATGGGTATTTATTTGATTCTGGCCACATGATTACTAACAGATCTATCATATATGCTTATAATAATTTCAAGTCTCGTCTCTGAGATTAGAATTTTTAATTGCCAATGAGAGAGAGAAGTGGGAAGATGGAGATTTTATTTGCAAATATGCTATATGCATGCATGCATACATGTATATGTATATGTATATGTATATGTATATGTATATGTATATGTATATGTATATGTATATGTATATGTATAATGTCCCTGTGGCTGGAACTCAGAGAAGTCCTCCACGATGGCTGCAAGACAGCAGGCCCCAATAACCCGAGAAAGTCCGTGGGTTTCCAATACCGGCTTTATTGACATGACAGATGATAGTTGAATCTGGATGTGCACCCCTACCACAATTTAGGCCAGGGCAGGCCTGACTTAAATGGGGAGGGGGAAAAGAGGAGGGACTGGAAAAAGGAATAACTTAATTAGCTACACCCTCTGGCCTTTAGGTAACTCATTAATATGGAAATTTCTTGAGGCTGAAGCCTGTAGTCACACCCTCTAACTGTAGCCCTACATGTCTGCAAGGCCCTATATGTCTGCAAGGCACAGATCAAATGGCGATCTTCGCCTTGTGTCAGGAGCCTGGGTTCTGGGGGCATGGCCAAACACCTGCCGTTTCCCCATCAGGGTCGGGGTTCCAGGCCTATGCCCAGCCAAGAACTAGGCTCCTTTCACGGCCCAACATACATATATAAAATTTTCTTCTTTATAAAATAAAGGTTAAGGCTGATGACATTTGCACAGTAGTGTAAATCACTTTCTGCCAACCCTGACTATCTGAGTTCACTGTGTAGGATCCACACAGTGGAAAGAAAAGACTCCTACCAGTTATCCTCTGACCTTGACTTCCATATGCATATATACATACACACTAAATAAATGTGGTAATAGAGATAAACATTAATGTTCCTAAATAAGATTGCAAAGTCTGTAGACAAAAAGAGATATGATTAATAACATAAAATTTATTCTGCATTATAGTTAGGATCCTCTTTGATTTTCATTTAGAGAAATAATTAGCAGTAAAGTTAGTTTTGAGCAGATGTTTAACCTTTTTATTGGAATATGATCTTTTTAAAACCTAGATCTGAAGAAGAGATGAAATCCAAAATATAAATCTGGATCTTTTTTCTTGTCATGTAAATGATTATAAAGTTTCAATTTAGATCTCTGTATAGATAAAAGATGGTTATAAAGGATGGTTTCTAGATGCCTACTAGGATTCAAAAGAAGGAAATACTGAGCTAAATAATATCCAGGGTCAAACTAGTTTGTAAAATAATCTTTGATGAATACTAACATAGTTTATATTTTTTAGAAGAAATGGAGCTGAAACCAGAAGAAAAGATGGTAAGAAAAAGTTGAAAATATATCAAGAAGGAATTTAAGGAAAACTGTTTGAATGGTGGAGCTTTAGACTTCAATTATAAGTTGTTGAACACCAAACTCAGTAACAGTATTTGAAGAAATAACTTAGATTAATAGAGAACTAGAGTATTTACCTAAGGGAAGCTACAGTCAACAAGGGAGACATTTTAGTAAATATTGATTGATTAATGTCGTTACTACTAGAAAAAGATGCATACTGCTCATGATTAAATCCTTTTGAAAAGTATGATATAACCACATATGGAAAATATCTTCCTGTAGATTCTCTCTACCAATAAGTCAAGTTATGGAGTATCCATGGTATTATATGAAATAAATAATACTAAGTAATAATTCATAGAGTTAAAGTTCATGAAAGCAGCTGTGGGGAAGGCAGTTTAGAGAAAAGCATACACTCACTAAAATTACCTTCTCAGAATATTAACCTTAGAGATATAGTTATAATAAAGTGATCTAAGGTGAAAATTAATATTTTGAAGGTATTTAAATTCCACTAGTTACCCTTTCAAGTAACCAAGACTGAAAACAGGAGTAGGATTAAAGAAGGGATTGTAAACTAAGAAAACATGGCATATTGTTTCCTAACCTAAAGTCCGAAATAATGACAGACAATGTACATCCTCAGAACATCATTCCTTGCCAGTTCTGCAAAAGACATGTATAAAAGTAACAGAAGAGAAAGTTCGTTTTTTTTTTTTTAATTTTTAGAGTGCTTTTAGAATTCTTTCAAGTATTTAGGTTATAAGTAAAACTAAACTGTACATAGACACTTTAAAAAGGAAAACACACAGTCAACTGTGGTCTAAAACATTAAATGAAAAATACCAGAACTTCACAATTGGTAAGTTTTATATGAGTCATTTAATGAAATCTTGTATCATGTCACCTGTCCTGTGAATCATCCCTTTGTCTTTGAGTCATGCTATGTATTCTACCTTTAGTGACTGTTCTATTTGTTAAATGTGATGCTTGTGATTGAGAAACTTTTTCTTTACTGGATATGGCTCAAAATCACAAGTGCAATAATGCTGACAATTTAGATATGCTAAAGAAAAGCCAAAAATTAAATCTTTCATATAAAAACTCATGTAAAAGTTCATGACTTAATGATGAAGAAAAACATATCATGTGCTGAAGTTGGGAGGAACAAGTCTCTTCATGATATTGGAAAGAAGAAAAAGATTCAAGCTAGTTTTGATTTTAATTCAAAGTAACAGTTATAGCTATATTACATGACTTTAAGTAGAAGCTGTAAATTTGTGTACATATGTTTCCACACAGGCATTCAGTTATATACTGTTTTCAGTTATCTTGAAATGATAATGGAGATCTTGAAATGTATCCCTAAAGGATGAGGGAAGTTACTAATTAAAAGATGAAAGTGGCTTTTGTTTTTTGCATTTTTCTTTATTTTAAACTTTTTCCTTTGAAATTATTATGTACACTGTAGGAAGTTGCCAAAATAGTATGAAACCTCATTAATTTTCACTTGTTTTTTTTCCAGTTGTAATACTTTATCAAACTATGGTAAAATATTAGAATTAGGAAATTGCCAATGACAATATAATCTTATCTAGATTATACATTCCCATGCACGTGTATTTATAATTTTCTGACATTTTATTTCATTTGTATGATGTATGACCATATTTAAGTTACAGAACTTTGTATTGTCAGAAAGAAAATCCTTGAAACTAACCTTCTTTATTCATTCATACAGTCTCAAATCTAACCACTTAAAAACACTAATCTCTTCACATCTAAAGTTTTTCCATTTCATAAATATAATATTGAATTATATATCATATAATCCTCTGAAATTGACTCTGCATTACACATAGTGCCTTTTTATTCATCAACCAGTTAATGTAGCATTGGTTCCTCTTGTTTTATTCACAAGTGATACTCTATTGTATAGAGTGTGTCAGACTATTTAATGGTCACCCATTGGAGCATATTTGAGCTACTCTCAATTTTCAACTCTTATTGGTACAAGCTTTTGTGTCAAACTTTAATTTCTTTACTAATAAATACCCAAGACTGAGCATTGGAATACATAACAAGTGTACATTTAGTTATTTTTTAAATTGCTGGAGTGTTTCCTTAAGTACTAATATGATACCATTTTACATTTCATTTACATTACATTTTTCCATTCTAGTGTTCATTTTTTATTGTTGTTGCTTTTTATCTGGATTTTTTTTATTTGGATTATATTAGTTCTACTGAGATTTGCACATGTTAAAATGTTCTGTATTCCTGATTATTTACAATGGCTGGATTTATTTAAAATGTCTGTTTCTTTTCTTAATTACCAGTCACATTGTCTTGCTTTGTGTATTATATAACTATTTATACTGGAGATGGCAAACAGATCTCTATGTGTTCCAGGCCAGCCTGGTCTACATAGCAAAACCCTGTTTGAAAAAAAAAATCTATGACTACCAACCAAAACAAAAAAGCATAAACAACAAAAAGAGCTGGAATTATAGGCATGTGCTCACCAAGTCTACCTCTTTCGGGTTTCTCTTTTATTTTTATATTTAATAGTTTTGAAGCAAGGTCCTATTTTTTTTACATATTGCCTAGAACTCACAGTGTAGCCTATGCTTTTCACCTGTCTTTCAGTGCTAAAATTGCAGGTATGCATGACCATGCCCAACTTGTACATAGGTGCCACAGATCCTCATGCTTGTACACCAGGCACTTTATCAAATTACCCACCTTCTCAGCCCATGAAATGTGAACTTAACATTTTCTCAATTGCTCTGAATTTGTGCCCTTTGATAAGCACTTTAGAAACAGGGCATTTCATGTAACCTCTTCACCTAGCCAGAGCCCCCAGTTCCTATTTTGGGGTCTAGCCCTATGAGTCTCCATGATAATCGCCACCCATGCCTTCTCCCAGCCCAACAGATCTAGCCTTAGTCCTACATCCAGTGCCTGGTCCTAGATTTGCCACCACTTGCCTGCACCACATTCCTCTAGGTAGATGTGTTAGTTAGGGTTTTATTGCTGTGAAAAGATACCATGACCAAAATAACTCTTAAAAGGAAAACATGTAATTGGGACTGGCTTACAGTTCTAGAGGTTTAGTACTTTATCTTCATGTCAAGAAACATCATGGTGTAGTACCTGAATACCTGAATAGTAGAACCACATTTTCTGTATCCATTCTTCAGTTGTGGGATATCTACTTATTTCCAGTTCCTGGCTATTATATATAAAGCTCCTATGAACATAATTGAGCAAGTGTCTTTGTGAGATGTTGGGGCATCTTTTGGGTATATACACAGGAGTACTATAGCTGAGTCTTGAGATAGAACTATTCCCAGTTTTCTGAGAAAGTGCCAAATTGATTTCCAGAGAGGTTGTACAAGTTTGCACTCCTATCAGCAATGGAGGAGTGTTCCCCTTGCTCCACATCCTTGCCTGCATGTGCTCTCTTGATATTTTTATCTTAGCCACTCTGATGGGTGTAAGATGAAACCTTGGAGTTGTTTTGATTTGAAATTTCCTTATGAATAAGGACTTTGAACACTTCTCTAACTGCTTCTTGGCCATTCAAAATCCCTCTGTTGATAATTCTCTGTTTAGTTCTTTTCCTCATTTTTAAAATTGGGATATTTGGGTTGTTGGTGTCTAACTTACTGAGTTCATTGAAAATTTTGTCTATGAGCTCTCTATTATATGTAGAGTAGGTAAAGGTTCTTTCACAATCTGTGGGCTGCTAGTTTGTCCTATTGTTAATGTCCCTTGCCTTACAGAAGCTTTGTACTTGCATGAGGTCTTATTTAGCAATTGTTAGTTTAGAACCTGAGCCACTGGTGTTCTGTTCACAAAATTGTCTCCTATACCAATGCATTCAAGGGTATTTCCTACTTTCTTGTCTATGAGATTTAGTTTATCCAATTTTATACTGAAATCCTTCGTCCACTTGGACTTGTGTTTTGTGCAGGATGATTAAATATGGGTCTATTTTCATTCTCCTATATGTAGACATCCAGGTAGTCCAGCACTATTTCTTGAAGAAGCTTTCATTTTTCCATTGAATGGTTTATCAAAAATCAACTGCCAGTAGGAGTATGGGTTTATCTCTGGGTCTTCTGTTTGATTCCATTGAGCAATACCATGCAGTTTTTATCACTGTTTTATTCCATTGAGCAATACCATGCAGTTTTTATCACTGTGGCTCTGTAGTACAGCTTGAGGTTAGGAATAGTGATTCCTCCCATAATTCTTTTTTTTAAATTTTTTAATTGAATATTTTATTTACATTTCAGATGTTATCCCCTTACCCCATTTCCCCGCTGCCCAGGAACCTCTCATCCCATCCCTCCTCCTCCTGCTTCTATGAGGATGTGCCCCCAGCTATCCCCACTCCCACCTCCACACCCTTGAATTCCCCCACACTCGGTGTCCAGCCTTCACAGGACCAAGGATCTCTTCTCCCACCTATGCCCAACAAGGCCATCCTCTCCTACATATACAGCTGGAGCCAAGGGTCCCTCCCTATGTGCTTCCAGGCTGGTGGTTTAGACCCTGGGAGCTCTGGTTGGTTGGTATTGTTGCTCTCCCCGTTGGGCTGCAAACACTTTCAGCTACTTCAGTCTTCTCTCTAACTCCTCTATTGGGAACCACATGATCAGTTCAATGGTTAATTGTGAGCATCTGCCTCTGAATATGTCAAATTATGGCAGACCTCTAAGGAGACAGCTATATCAGGCCCCTGTCAGCATGCACTTCCTGACATCTACATCAGTGTCTAGCTTTGGTGACTACACATAGGATGGATACCCAGATGTAATGGTCTCCAGACGGCTCCTCCTTCAGTTTTTGTCCCACACTTTGTCTCCATATTTGCTCCCTTAAGTATTTTGTTACGCCTTCTAAGAAGACTGAAGCACCCATACTTGGTCTTCCTTCTTCATGAGCTTCATGTGGTCTGTGAGGTGAATCTTGGGTATTTCAGGCTTCTGGGATAATATCAAATTATCAGTGAGTGAATACCATGTGTGTTCTTCTATAATTGGGTTACCTCACTCAGGATGATATTTTCTAGTTCCATCCATTTACCTAAGAATTTCTCAAATTCGTTGTTTTTAATAGCTGAGTAATAATCCGTTGTGTAAAAGTTCCACGTTTTTTGTGTCCATTCCTCTGTTGAAGGACATCTGGGTTCTTTCCAGCTTCTGGCTATTATACATAAAGATGCTATGAACATTTGTAACTGCCGTTTCTTTTGTAACGGCCGTCAGGTTCTGTTACTT